ACTAGTTGACTGATCAAGTCCGATCGAGTATTGTAAAATCATTTTTTTATGTGTTTCACACCGTGTGTAAAATCAGTCGTGTAACAACAACGTTCCCTCCTGTTCTATAACCATAACCATATTAATTAATTCTGGGTTTATTTCAAGGGTACACAGAACTACAGAACTAAACCATATTTAAAATATGATTCGTTGCAAAAATTTTACACAGAAGGTGATCGATTTTCAAATTAAGCTTTTGACCAGAATTATTAGTATAGAGATTTTCTTGTAGTACATTTCGTCATCAATTTTGTAATCAGACAAAGGCTTATATTGCCGTTTGTGTATGGTGTTAGATTTTTTTGGCTTGTTCATGAATATTTATTACTTTATATAATTAATATATATATATAATTATATGTAAAATTTAGCGATAAACGTTTTTGCTTAACGCTTGAAATCAAGTTGCCATAATAAAATTTTGAGATATTATAATTTTCTTTTTTTGTGTAATATGTTCGTCTACACTGGTGTTACCCTTTGTGATTGGTTGTATTACATAATGTTCATGTTTATAGAGGTATAATCATGCATGGTACGCGCACGTGATCATTGTCAAATTATTATAAATAATGTTGATTTACGTTGGATTTAATATTTGGATGTTGAATCAACTAAATTCTCGGTAAGTCTTTTAAAAATATTAAAAAACAAACCTACAGTCATATTCACGTGGTTATACTTCTTTAAATACACTGCACCCTCAAATTGTATGTTTTTTTTTAGTGTTCCTTTTACAATATTTGAATTTTTAATGGATGTCGATCCTGTGGCGTCTCAGCAAAATCTGATAGGGTTATTGGAATATTACTTAGAGATTGCAAATAATTACGTTCAAGATAGGCTTTCATCCTCGTTAGAAAAATATGGTAATTATTATATAATTAACTAGTTTAAAAAATATTAATAAAATTTTTTTAATTATGAATTTATCTTTTTATTAGTGGGTGAACGAATAATTGTATCTCATTTACTTAATCTTACGATCCAATATCCTGAGCTTGTAAAGAGTAAGATAAGATCGATTTATTATTTGTATCACACGATTATTCATTTGCTCTGATCGTTACCATGTATTTAATTAGACAATGAAAAGCAAATATGGGATCGTCTCTCTGTGAAAAATATACAAACAATATGCTACTTTGAATGCTTCACGAGATTTTCTTTATGTGTGTCATCATCAAAGTATGTCTATTCATAATATTTCTTCATTCTCTTCATTTTATAATTATAAATTTTTAATAAATTTATTATTATTCACTTTTTTTCGTAGCGAAACAGTACCGCTTTGGGATGCATTTTCTAGCTGGTTATTGACTTGGTTGACAAATGATTCGCCAAATGTTGTACCTCATGTGATTCCTGTATGCTTATTACTGGATAGTTTAGCTAATGAACAATACGTTGTTAATGACGATAATATAGATCATACCGAATTAAATTATTTGAATAATGTTATTCGTACAAGGTGTACGTACATTATTCAACAAATAACAAATATGGTGTGTACATAATTCTATTTCATCATGTTTGTATTTTATAGTGTCAATATTCACCTTTTTTATTGTTACCAGATTGATGAGTGCGTCATGGATTTTCATTTCAATTCTGAAGCGGAATCATATTTGAATGCGCTCATAGAAAATTCTTTTTTATCGCAGTCTTCAACTACAGAGCCGTCAAATTGGATTGAACCATCAGAACATTTAATTGTTACTCCTCATACCTTTTTCGATCTTAATCGAGTATTAACCATGCTTTCATATCGTTGGGGTACTGAATGTGAACATTTTTGGCTAGTGATGCTTAAGTGCATTGGATTAGCCACAAAGCAAAATGCTATAAAAACAATCGTAGAGCTTCTTCTTATAATTGATTTTTCGGAAATGTCATTAGAGGATGAAAGAACTGTGAGTAGGATTAGTCTTGCTCGTGAATTGATTACTACATTGGAGCTTAAATGGAAGGACGTTGTTAGGTAAAAATGAATATTTGTTAAATGAATGTAAATGATTAAAATTATGTCATTATTAATTTAATATTTAATTCAATTTAGTTTGGCTGTCAATAAAATTGTGGAAAAAACTTTGATACACAAAAACCTTGATTTACCATCATTAGCCATTAACACTCGACATACTAGAGTGTACAAAACATTTGTTTATTTTATTTCAACACATCCGGAAACATCTAATATCAATTTGACCGAGTTGACCAGTGGCTCATTAGTACTGAATAAAACATGTAAATATATAGTAGATGCCTTAGGAAGTTCATACCGAAAGTTACTGCGCAATTTCCGGCGCATGCTAAATTCTCACAATGATCGAATAGAAACAACGAGTTCAGGATGGTTATTATTACTATTATTATATGTTACATCTAACATGTTAAAAAAATCATCAGCTCGATATATCATTACATGTTGTAATGAGTTGATTGATGTATGGTTTGACGTAATTTCAAGGCAATCACAATTAACGAACACTAATGGGAGAAAGGTTCAATGGGATAAAACAATAGCTGTTTTAGAAATGATTGGTATGTAATTTTAAAAGTGTTTCTGAATTAAATCATTTAAATTTAATATTGAAAATTATTATTTATCATTTATAGTTTTGACATTTTCACAATGCCAAGAAGCTTTTCTTTACATACCGAGTCTTGTACTTAAAAAGCTTTTAGTCAATAATGAGTCTATACGAAATTGGCCATGTAAAGTGCAGACAATAACGGAAGACACATCAGATTCGGAATCATATTTTCGAAACAAAATACCGAGATTTAGGTTTGGTGCTTCAAATTCTAACAGCAAATCCTCAATAACAGCATGGAAAACATTGAAGCCTAAACCTTGGTCAGTAAAAAAACCTTCAACAACGTCATCTTCAAACTCTTGGCAAAAAAATTTCGTCATGTTTATAAATAATTACAATACGAGGTAATTTAAATTTTATTTTTATTTTTATTTTTGTTTGTTTTTTTAAGGTCTAACGTTCTAAATTAATTATCTTATTAACAGTTCTCCAGAACGTGACTGCACCATATCTAATGCATGGAATAATGGTATATTGTTTAGGATTTGCTGCATGCGCCCAGGTAATTGCTTAACTAAATTTGTGTAGATGGGATCAATTGTGTAAATGTTAATATTAACGCATATATGTCATAAATTTTTAGATCTATTATCATTTGAATCTAGTAAAACTTCGTTATTGACACGTCTTCTTTTGAACCATTTGACAACTAAGGAACCACCGACAAATATAACAGGGCATATAATTTTACCAAAATCTATAACGTATCGTAGGGATACTTTTTTGCAATCAACATTTTCAGAACATCCGGAGCTGTGGATATTGCTTAGTTTTCTAGCAAATGGTATGTAGATATTGTGTTATAAGGTCATCTGATGCATATTCAGTGAAATATTTGTTTAACAAAAATCGTTAATTAATTATTTCAAGATTATGTAATGTTTGAAGAGCTTTTTAACTCTATCGTTCGGTCTCTTTTTGCGATGAACATTACTTTTTGGTATCGCGTAAGGGAACAAACCCAAAAAAAAAATCAAATAGAATTGGATACTGCAATACGGCTTGTCGAAATTTTACAGAAGGTAAAACAACGAATTATGTGTTTGGATATTTTACAAATGTATTTTATTAGGTATTTAATATCGTTTGTTGATTAGGCACGTTATATCCCTTCACCTCTGAAAAATGTGGGCTGTCTATTGCCTCACCTTCAATCGAAAGATGTTGGATATTTATTATTTGAATCTATATGGAAGTTTGTATTAGAAAACCGACAATTATGTCCATATTCGGACGACTATGATATGTTTGAAGAACAAACCACACTGAATAATCATTTAATTCACTATTCAGAGAGAGTGAGTGCGATTAAGTTGATGATTCAAAAAAACATTTTATCCATTCCTGAAATACTACCTCCTCACCTTGTTAATTAGTAAACGATTCGTTTAATAAATAATATATCAGAGAGGAAAATACATATACATGAATGGTTCATATTTGCTAGTAATATAATTAATATAATGATAAATGTATATACACAAATTAGCAGATATTGGGGTCGAAGATTTGAGAATTTGATTGAGAATTTGATTCAAAATCAGTGTATATATGTATTGGTAACCCATGCAAAAACATTTTACAATGGGAATTACCAATTTAATATTAAAAATTATACAAGTAAAAATTTCATTGTTTCATGTACTATAAGATGATCTTATAGATTTTTTAATTTTTAAGTAAAAAAAAAAAAAGATATATTCGTGTATATATAAAGTATTAAAAAAATTTCCTTTAAATTAAAAACTAAATAAATAAATAATACTGTAAATAAATAATATACAGTTATTTGGACGGAAAGTATGTGGTCGAGAGATGACTGGGCCCGCAGCTCCGATCACATCATTGAACCTAGGTGCCGAACAAAAAAAGCGCGGCAGATTCTCGATTTTGATTGGCCGAGAGCGACGATCAAAAAATTAGGCCGGAATTACTCATAATTTTCATAATTTTACTAATGAATTCGCAGCCGCCCATTAAGTGAAAATTGTTCCTGGGTCAATTTTACCATAATGCGAGCTTATTTTTTTTTAAAAAGTTAATCCAATCAAAATCGAGGATCTGCCGCGCGGCACCTAGATTCAATGTGGCTCGGTTTCAATTATTGATGCGTAGGATCGGGAGTCACATGGATACGACAGTAAAATAAGTAGATTAAAATACAGAAATAATTGATAATTTTATTCTAGTTCATAAGTATTTGGCTAATTTAAAATCGATCAGGTTTCTTCTTGTTTGATATGTAAAAAAAATAGTCAAAAGCAAATGCACCAAAAAATAAGATTACAGATATACGGTGTGACTGGACTCGTATAAACTCGTGAAGAGTGCTCAAACCATTCGATTGAATTACTTATTCGAGCTTGAGTAATTTGAGTCACGACAATTAATTCATTGATAAATTTTATAAATTGCGAGTTACACGAGGCAAATATAGCTCAATTTTGTGTTATAAAAATTATTTGTTATAAAGCAAATACAGAAATATCCAATTACAAGTTACGAATGCAAATGTATTTTTATTAAAAATTTGCGATTGCAATAAATTACGTACGTACGTAGTTTATTTGAATTACACGACATTTTTATGCAGCTTACAAAAATATACAGTATAATGCAAATTATTAGTCATTTTAAACTTTATTCTTCATTAATAATTAACACGCAGGTTAAAAATTTGTGATTCGTATTCGAATTATTCGAGTCACGAGTTGACGAGTCCAGTCACTATTGAAATTGATAAAATTATTAGTGGAATTTTTAAGAATACTAGAATACTTGTAAAGCAATATTCAAGTAGGTTAAGATTTTTACAAACTGGTGTTAGTGACTGGACTCGTCAACTCGTGGCTCGAATAATTCGATTCGAATCATGATTTAGGAGATTCGCGAGTATTCGAGAGTCCACAGTTGTTATAGCCTGGTACCCAAATCTGTTTTTAGTTATTCTGTTCCGGGTAAGGATGTTATTTTAATAGAATTGGAGTTGAAAGGCGAACATAATTATTCAGATCGATATTTCCCAGATCTCCAGAGTTTTCAAGACCCGCTCTAGTCGGAAAGTTTAATTTTACCAATTTAAATTTCCAATTTCTTCGATTTTCCACACAGGTATATATGGAAACCATTGTTCGCACATTTTTGAAAACAGTTATAAAAATGGTAGAGATGGAGTTGAAAAGGGTTAATATAAGCATGCTGTTGGAACGTTTTATCCAAGTAAGAAGTTGTGGCAAAAAAAATTCTCGATCAAGTGATCGCTGATGCTTCCGAACCCCTTCGATGGAGCTCAAGAACCGAATATCAGATATGTAGTACATATATCTGATATTTGGTTCTTGAAAAAATGCATAAATTTTGTTATAAAGTTTACGGGCTGCATCGAAGGGATTCGGAAGCATCGGCGATGACCTGATCGCGAATTTTTTCTTTGTCACCTTCAATATTTTAATAGAACTGGAGTTAAAAAAATCGGCATAGGTGAGCTATTAGATTAATGTTGTATATTCTTATAATGAAGGAATTGGAGTTGAAAAGGATTAATAAATCCACAAAGATAGGTAATGCCAATGAAATATATATGGGCAAGTTTGTATTTTCTTATAATCTACTATAAGATTTATAACACAAAAATTGATTTTTTAAAGATCTTTTGTTTTGTCAATTTCATTCCTTTTTCCAGCACCTAGCTTATATAATCCAGGTTGTTTTAGTAAAATTGGAGAGTATAGAGTGTTTGTCTATTAAAAATCGGCAGAGATAAGTGATCTAGTAGAATATTTAATGTTAGGTATTGTTATGATAAAGGAATTAGAGTTGAAAAGAATTTTTTTTTTTTAATGCAATCTAATATATAATATGCAGTTGTGTATAAACACTAGGCTATGAGACAAAAATCGTCTCCTATTGGCTACTAACCATGTGGATCTATGTCACATGTCATTCGTGACTTCTTTTATCCAGCCCCTCCAGGGGCAAAAGTTACGTTTTTGGTTGATCTGCGGTTACTTTTTTGGTAGGTCTAAATTACCCCCTAAATTGAGGTGGCATTTTTGATGCATTTCGGCATTTTTTGTAAACAATAAGCAGGTGATGTTACACAAATTTGTTACACAATCAATAAAAATTTTTTTACGCATAACTGATAATATACGTACGTATGTGCAATGAAGAAATTAACAATTAATCTCTTGATTTTTATCAACAATGGATCCCTTTTGATACGCCAAGAATAATACATACTTAATAGGAACTATTATATGCGAAACTTAAATAAGCTATTGATTGAAATTTTGGATTTTTTGTATGTATCGTATGTATACGTATACGTATGTACATACAGAAATTGATAATAAAAGCTCAATTATTATATTTAATTACTTATATTGCTTTTACGTATATATTTATCGCTTATTTTATATAGAGGCTATATAGTTTAGATTTAATAATTCAGCATTTATTTATGTATGATTTTAAAATAAGCTTTAGCATATCTTATAAATCATTGGATTCAAATAATGGTTTCGGGTGCATCAATTGCTACTTTAATAGAAGAGATCCTTTGATAATATGCTTAATTGAATTATTAGTTATAGGAGTCGCTTGTAAGACTTGAAAGCTACTTTTAAAAAGAATTAATAAATATTAATAAAAATCACAATAATTGAAACTGATAAGTTTTTTTTTTACTTTGTTTTATAGCTACTATATTTACCTAACGATTGAGAATATTTAAAACATGCTGGCGCGTTGCATTAAATTTTTTAATAAATTCTGGAGATTTATCCATAAGCTGGTTGGTCTCATTCATAAAATTCTGATTATTGGATATAACTACTTGTTGCAATATATCAGCAGGTAATTGTTAACTAATAGTTTCTGAAGTTTCAACAGAAATTTTTGACTTTTTCAAAATATTTTCTTTTTGCTTGCCCTAAATAAAAAAAATTTTTTTAGAATTTTTAATGAGTTTAAAAAAAAGCTTATAAACAATTACTTTGTGTTCACGTTTAGCTTTCCTAATATTCATTGTTTTTCTTTTTTGTTCTGACGGAAAAATTCCATTACTTTCATTATCAGGAACTGAATGTAGTATACGACTAGGCTTACGCGGCTTGGCAGATAATTTTGCAGGTGATCCATTACTTGATGATTGTTGTTGATTTAACTCTAATGGTCTAAAAGGATCATTACAAATGCTTGGTTTATTTTTGAATAGAAGATACGTGCACCTAGAATAATAAGTTGAATTAGTCTAATTTTTTAAAGATTATAATATAGATAATAAAAATTGTATATACCTTCAGAATTATATAACCTAATTATTTCTTGATATGCAACTTCCATGGATCCAGAATAAATTAAATTATTCTTTTGATCTAGCGGAATTGTTCTCTCTTTATTCTTAAAGTAACTTACAAATTTTTCCTTTGTTTCTTGTATAATTTTTGAACAATTTCCTTGTGAAAAAATCTGTGTAGCATAACAATGCTTACATACATCATAGAACAGGCTATTCCAGATATAGTCCAGACATAATGGGCATTCGCCAGTAATAATATTCGTGATATAATACCCGTCTCGAAGCTTAACTTCATAATTCTTAACTAGCTGTTGCATCATTGGCTGGAAATAGTTAACATGTTCTTTTTCATTTCTATAAACTCATCATTATCAAAATAATCAATTATAATATTTGATTCACATGGTTTTTTAATATAATAGAAATTTGGGTGACTGGATGGTTCAACCAAACCCATCAAAAAATATAGTCTTCCACAATTCAAACATCGGTTCATAGTAGGTGTTATTTTATTAGATTCGGCTTGCTACAATATTAAACTTTTTATTAATAAAATATTTCTATCTGTGTTATATAATAAAATCTAGTAATATAAATTTATACCTGTTCAATTGATTGCGCATTAAGAAGAGTGACCAGTCCAGCTTCATAAATATTTCTATTTGTCCCTTCAGAATGGAGATTTTCACGTAATAATTTTATTCCATAGAGTCGTTCAATAAATATAACAACTGTCTGTTTTTTTGTTAGTTGCGATTCAATTGTCCTGTTCATCCTTTCAGTATAATTATTAGTAGTTAATGGATTTTGTACATTAGAACTAATAGAAAGATGGCCGGCATCTATAAATTGCATTCGCCATTCATCACATATCCAATTATTTTCTAAGTCTTTAATAAGTGACAATTTTTGATTTAAATCAAGGAAAAGATAATCAATAAAATTCTTATAATGAGATGCCATTTCAAATGCATCTTCTTTGGTGTGACAACGGCCCACGAATTTAAATCCCAATACAATTTGGTACCTTAAAATTAATATTTAAAATAGTAAAAATGTATTTAGAATAAATAT